ATTATTATTATTATTATTATTATTATTATTATTATTATTATTATTATTATTATTATTATTATTATTATTATTATTATTTATTTTAATTTTAATTTTAATTTTAAGAAATTGCAACAGTACAATACACGCGGAACAGAGGCAGCTTCTGCTGGTGTTGTGTCCCGCACATAGAAACGAATACTGGACAGACAATACTCATTTTCACTTGAGTCTAGTGGGGAAAGTCGTGTAAAGTGCCTTTTTTTCAAGGGCACAAGATCGGTAGCATGTCAGGACTCGAACCCGGGACCTCTTGATTCCGAGTCGCGCACGCTGCCGTTGTGCCAGACGACCTCGGAACTATGAAAGAGGTGCTAGTGTCACGAAATCACTAGCTAGGATTTGCTACCTAGGATTCAAAGTGTTTAAAGTTTACGAGTGACACTATTGTCTGACAGTTGAGACAATATATGTGAAATTTCCACGTTCTGTACAAGAATCAGGTTTCCTTCGGAAATGACATTGAACTGAAATCCCTCTGTTTAACTTTTTCGGTTCAAGTATACGTTTTGGCTCGGAAACTGGGCTATCGCATGACCCACATAAATGCCACTAGCCTTTTTACCTAAGCCTAGTTCAATCCCTAACACGTGCTACGGTCGTATCCCTTACTTAGTTCATCCAAAACAATTCCTGAACTAGGACTCGCACTTTTACGAATAAAAAAAGTACACAAGTAACTAGAGAAGTAACATTTGTGAAGCAAATGCATAATGTTTACCTTCGGACATGGTCTGCTATCTTAATTCTTACTCAAACACATTTAAATTCATGTGGTGTTAGTATAAGGAGCAGAGCAGACCATGAAATTGCAACATTATGTAACCCAACACCAGACTCCATGGTTGCAGACGTCAACAAATCATGTCATTGGTCAGGTCAGAGGTTACTGTTTGGGGAAGAAGAAGAGGAAGAAACTGAGCAAAAACAATATGTTTTCCTTTGCAGTCGCTTGAGTAACAATTTCTATCCAGTCGCTTGAGTAACAATTTCCTTGTGTATCTCATTACCTGGATGTCTATTAAACCGTCATCGACAGATGTCTATGTTTAACAAATGTCTATGTTTAACAATGGGAAATCCGTGTCACTGACGATGATGATTCATTGCGATCTAGTAAAGACAAAAATGAATGAGGCTGAAAATTGTTGACATACCCGAACTTAACCTTTCAACATTGGACGTAAACCCCTGACATATCACTATCAGGGAGTATATATTACAGCTGCTGTGTCAGTTAAACGTTGCAGACATTTTTTAATTCCAATATGTAATCACAAGACGTGGTGACGGCACACTCATGTTTTTTCAACTTATATTAATGCCACCACCAAAACAAGGGGACAATACAATACTCATTTTCACCTGAGTTGAGTGAGGAAAGTCGTGTAAAGTGCCTTCCCCAAGGGCACAAGATCGGTGGCATGTCAGAACTCGAACCCGGGACCTTTTGGTTCCGAGTCGAGCACTCTGCCGCTACGCCACACGCACCCTTCCTTCTGTTTTAGTTGCCACGTACATGACGACTTCTTGACACTGTCCAGACCCACCGGAAGCCTTGCTGATATCTTGAGTTTTAACATGTCGACTTCGCTGAGCGCTAATTGCGTCGATGTGTATAATGAGACTGTTTTGCAAACACGATACTCGTACCAAAACGCCAACGCTGCTTTGGTGGTGAGCTTGGGTTAAAGGCATCCAATGCAATGTCAGGGGGACGAATTCGTAAGAAAAAATATTCTGGATGAGGAAATCTGTCCGAAAAAACATTTTCAACCATACTGTAAATGACACAAAACAGTTGCAAAATGAGCAAATATATACAAAAATATATTTGAAAACAATACCAATGTTGTACAATGCCAAAATCAAACGAAAAAGACGAAAATGTAAAGAAATGAATTTGAAAAGTAGATTATTCGCCATACTATACTCTGTGTCATTTGTTCAACCTTCATGACCACGTAGATTTCATATTGAAAGCAACTCTTTTTTTTTGCAAAACTTTTTTTATTCGCACGCACGCATCAGTTTTTGGGTTCCCAGGGGATGTCATCCATATAATCAAATCAACTTGGCCTCATCAAACGTCCAAAAACAAGCCTAAACTTGGTCTGTCTATGGTTGTCAAATTACACTTACGATAGTTAAGAGGTTTTAGTCACTTAACGTACCCTTTCAGTCAACGTGTTACAATGTTGTCTCAAAACGCGACGACATACGCAGACGATCTTCGTCGTGTCAGACGAGTCTGGTTTTTGTCAAAACTCGTCATTCTGACTAAAACCTTAATTACTCACATGTGAGACTCGCTGGAAGACAGACGTAGAATGTCCAGCCTGTGCATGATGTACAAAATTACTAATAAACTGGTGGACGTCCCAACTACTGAGTATCTGATACCAGCCCAGAAAAGAACAAGAAACAGTCATGCCTTCAAATATCAGTTATCACCCCAGAATTGAGGTGTTCAAAAGCTTGTATTTTCAAGAACTATCGTGGACTGGAACTCGTTGCCACCAGGCACAGTTGGGGCATCGTCACTAGAAATCTTTAAACAACTCCTGCAACTAGATGTGCAAAGATTGAGTGTACCATGCCCTTGGCT